GCGGAATATATCTAAGACTTTATGGCGTTATGGAACCTGTATGCCTTTTCATGTTGCTTCTCGGTAACATAGATGAAAAATCGCCAACTATTTATGCCCAACGGAAAGACTGCTACTGGCCGAGTCTTTGAACATTTGGCGAGTGTAACTACTTAAAATTTTATCCGTCCTCAATTTTAAAGAGGAATGAACTGGTCAGACTCGCCATCTCCAGCACTACTGAAACGAGAACTAGCTTAACTCAGTTCTAGGTGCTATTTTTGGCGGAGAAAAATTCCGTTCATCTCCTTCTGACGTTACGATCGTGGCAACTTCAGTTTGACAAGTTTTACTATAACATTTCCATTAACAACTGGAAGACATAACAGTCCAGGTTGGAAGAGTCATAAAATTTGACAAAAACACCAAAAAAAAACTGTTCCGAAGACCGATATTTTGAAACTTATCCATGTTCTACTCTCTACGGGATGCAAAAGCACACGTAAATTCGTTCTTTCAAGTGGAAAAAACACTCTCAGTTCCCAGACGCTTCTAAGTTTTTGCAGAATGAACATATTTCTCAAAAACTGTACCTCTCTCTATTTCTTTTTTAGAAAAGTTGCAACCGTGAGCTTTAAATTTTTACTCACAAAAAAGCTTTAAGTCAGTAGAAAATGGAAAATGCAGTACTTATTCGCGAAAGCCTAATAAAGAATCTGCGGCGGACAGAGTTAAGGAGTTAAGATGCTTGGAGTGTTTCTGTGTGGCCGTGTGTGCAATCAGACTTCTCATTAGATGATGTAGCACAATATTTCAAATACGTGAAAAAGCAAAGTTCAGCAACTGAGGCATGCTGTTGGTCGCTTTGCAGATAACGATGGGAGCTACGTATTACTCAGTGACAGCCGTAAGCAAATAAACGACCACTCGGGCAGCCTCCAGGAAACTGCGCAGGCTACTAGTGCTACTAGAGGTACGCAACTCAAGATCGAACAGCCATGTAGCAAGATCAAATGTTCCCACCTGAGGCGTGGGAACATTCCAGTAACATCACTAACATGGGCCATCAACAGCGATTGCTCAAATAAGTGCTCATGAGTATGAAATAATATGCGCAGCGGCGGCTTACTGCTGCTGTGCGCATTATTTCATTCTTTGTTCACTACAGCATTTAATATCTAGCGTGACTCTAATTACCATACCATTTTCGGCTCAAAATCTTGGGGAACTCTTAAAAAGCCCCTCGCACACTACATCTTCTAGCTATACTGCAAAAGTGGGAAAGGGATGCTAGAAGTGAGATGAATGGCTGCAGAAGTACCATGTGTCTGGTATTTTTCACCAGAATAGTGAAGAACGGAAGCCAGAGGACGAACTCCTGGGTTACCAATGCGTTGATGGTTAAACAGTGCAGCTTCAAACACAGTAACCACAAAAACCATAATGACAAAATGTACTGCGGTGAAAAGACAGCTAATCAAAGACCATCCTGTTTTGTCAGCTGAAGTAAGCTTCAGAGTTTACAAATTATTAGAAGACGATAAAGAAAAACAATAATCGACCAACCTGCTTTTCGTATCGCTCCCTGACGGAATTCAGTTCATCCTCGTGATTCCGATTTACTGCAAACAGAATGGCCAGAAATATGAAGACGATGAAAACCGGAACAGTAATGGTGGTAGTCGATGAAGCTGCGCCCAACAGCATCAGACAAACTGAGGATGGCGAAAAAAGAGAGATCAAAATGAATGGTAGTACCACAAGGCCCGGGGTTTTTAGACGAATAACATTCGGGATTATGCAGAATACTGGCATTGACCCTGACTGCCACGTAAGTTAATGTTACAGCAAATAGACCTCAAAGGTCAAGTAGTAAATTTCAGGGCCCAGTGATAAGTCAAGGATCAAAGGTCAATGTCGTAAATGTGGACAAAACGTTTTTTTTTTTTTTTTTTT